TGAGCAGATCACCCTTAGAGGCCCCATTCGCGGTATCATCGATGTTATTAGAGACTGGAGAGATAGATTTAGGAGGATCAAGTTTAATACTATCTTCTGGGAACAAAATATGGTTGTGGGGGATCGTCTTGCGAGCTGAACTGGAGTGAGCATGAGTTTCCTCCTCCGGGTGTGGCTCATCTCATTGCAGAAGACATGATAATCGTTTCTACTCTTGTTGTTAGTGACTAGGCTTGTTGCAGAAGACATGATGGGCAACTCAGTTGGTCATAAGGATGAAGTTTGTGAAGAAAAAAAAATTAAGAGTGCTTTCGGTAGTAAGGAAAGTTTGAACTTTTTAGAAAATTTATAATCTTAAGTTTGATGCAATCTTTAATTTAAGAAAGTTGGAGTGAATGAGAATCTACTTCCATGATATCAAGGAAAGTAAATCTCACATAAGGAAGGTAAGATTCTTTTTCAGGAGTAATTGAAAATATTAAATTTTATTTATTTTCATATTTATCCTTTTTGGCGCAATGTCAAAAGTCTCTTGTAAATATAAAAAATTGTTTCTCCCACCATTATGAAGGGTAAAAATTGTTATGAACCAAGGACCAACTCCAATTACTCAATCCAGAAAGGGGAGTTCACAAATTGCATAAGTTGATTGCTGGGATTGAAACAACATCGTATGGATGGTTGATGGTTTTATTAGTTAATGAATAATGAATAATTGTTGTTAGGGGAAATCGCACTTTTGGTCCCTCAGTTAGTACCCCATTTGCAATGCTGTCCTTGCTTTCCAATTTGGACACTTTTGGTCCCTCAATTAGTCCGACGTTTGCCAATTTAGTCCTTCTGTTAGTTAGCCAACCTAAACTCTGTTTACAGCATGGGTATTATAGGAATTTCACTTATCCTTGAGTATATTAGCTTAGCTTCTTCCCATTGTGTCTGCCATTTATTTCAGCACGACCTGTAACCCTAACCTGGTGGAAGAGGAGTTGCTGCAAGCCATTTCATCCACCATTTTCTTCATCCGTAATCGTAATGTCTTCAAACACTATCGGGTCAACACAATGGATGCCAGAAGTGCGATGTTGGTGCGGCGAAGTGGCTCCGGTTAAAATGTCGTGGAGTAATGCGGATCCAGGGAAGAGATATAGAGCTTGTCCATATTATGGAGTAAGTAAACCGCAGTGTTGTTGTTCATTTGTTACCAAAATTAAACTTTCATTTGTTTTGGTTTGTTACACTTCGTTTCCTATCAGGGTAATGGCAGTTGTAGGTATTTTGAATGGATTGACTCCGATGTCTCCGAGCGTGTATCCAGAGTTATTAGAGGGCTATTGAAGAGGTTGGATAACAAGGACAGTGAAATCCAAAAGCTACAAAAAATGATTGAAAAAGAAAATGGTGTGATTAAGAAGATGAAGGTGGAGTCTAAAGGTTACTTCTTCTTCTTCTTTTTTTTTTTTTTTTTTTAATGGTTTTACATTAGGATTTGTAGTTGCACTTGTTTGTTTGAGATTGTGGGTAACCTGACACTTCAACTTTGCCTTCACATGTTCTTGAAACTGTATTCTCCCCCATTCTGTGTTCAGTTTAAAATCATCTTTGTATATTTTGGCTAGAAAACCAGAGTTAACTGTTCTATTCTCGTCTTGATCCCCACATGTTTGCTCTGAATTGTATGTCTTAATTTGAAATGGACTTCTTGGATTACTTCTTGAAGCAAAAATAGTCCACTTGCAAATGTTATTGTGTCTGCAAATTACCCCGACTCTTCTGCCTTCATTCTTTTTAAACATGATATCTTTTATCTTTATTGCCTCATGACACTTAACAGCCCATTTAAACTCATCTGCTGATTTGAAAATCATTCCAAGAACAAACTTAAACCCTTCTTTTTTCAGGTTTCTTTTTTGGAAAACATTGTCTAGAACTCCCCCATCACAATCATCAGAATTTTCCAAACTCCTGAAAATCTCTTCAGATAATTCACAATCAACTTCATTCACTTCATCACCTTCCAGCCCACCATCAGGATTTGCATTCCTAGAACTAGTTCCAGTGTCCATAAGATTGTCCATAACATTGTCTTCCTCACCTTCATTTTCACCTTCAACCTCAACTTCAACTTCATTGTCACTACTCTGATTTATTTCATCATACAATAGGCAATCATCTCCCAATTCCTTAGAATCTCTACATCATAATCCCATTGATCATCAAATAAATGTTCAACAAAAATATCTAACTCCTTGTTTGGTGGAACCTCTTCAACTAAACTGATAATGTCTGCATCAGTGATTATAGGCCTAAGTTCAGATTTTCTTGAATTCTTTCTACCCCTGGAGACATGAGCCCAAAACTGCACCTTTCTATCACAATATTTGAGTTGTTTTACCATTCTCCTTAAATCTAGCAAACTTCCCTCATGACAGTTGAAATGGTCAAAATACTCCAATCCATCATCCTTATAACTAACTGTTGGATGCCATACTAAATCCCCACCAATATGGAGTTTTAGGGTACATACAGAGTCTTCTTGATCATCATCTGTACAATGCAGTAAAACAAGTTCTATTTACAGCTTTGGTAAATTTCAGAGAGCAATAACAAGTTCACACAATTAATTACAATAAATAAGGTAAATTTCATAGGTCCCCACAAAACAATAACAACACAGAATTATGAAATGCTTTTAAATACACATTGGGAAATACACAGTGGGTATAAAAATTGATTTTCAGGCAAAGGAACACATGGTCCCCATATGCTTTCCCCTTTTTCTAGTCAACTACCTATGGTTTTCCCTTTTTCTATTGAACTACACAATCTGTGTTCCCTTTTTCTTTATATAAGGGGTCCCCACCAAACATTAACATCATAAACAAACAAATAGCACATGGTACCATCACTTCTACCAACACAAGTAAGACAAAAAATATATACATTTCATATTCGAACAAAATACCAAAATAAACACTAAGCTTTTGTAGAAAATTAGGGCAGAATACTTACAAGTAGGAGTACTATTAAACCCACTAATCCGCCTACTAGTCATTGCATCAATGTCGTCTTCTCTTCTATTCGGATGGGTTAGAGGTGTAGACGATTAAAGGTTGCATACAGTCGTGTGGTGGCGGAAATGGTAAGACCGGGCAGAGCAACGGGAAGAAGCTAGGCTTATATTTAAGAATAAGTGAAATTCCTATAATACCCATGCTGTAAACGAGTTAGGATGGCTAACTAGCAGAAGGACTAAATTGGCAAACGTTGGACTAATTGAGGGACCAAAAGTGTCCAAATTGAAAAGAAAGGACAACATTGCAAATGGGGTACTAACTGAGGGGCCAAAAGTGCGATTTCCCCTTGTTGTTATACCTTTATGTTATTCTTTTCTTGTATTCCTTCCGATTGTTGACCGACTTGGATATAAGGAGCTGGAAGATTATGCCTTGAATGAATCACTAATTTCCTTTCTTCTTCATGCTATCTTCCCTAATCTTTCTTCTACATTGTTACCCCTGTTATATTCATAATCTCACCTCAGTCCCTAGTGCATCACAAAAATTTATTTCTCTTTTAATTTAACACTTTTTTACATACGTATTATTTTGAATTTGGAATATTCATTAATTTACAAGTGATTTATTAAGGGTCCGTTTGGAAAGCAAGAAAATGACTTCTGAAAAATGTTTTCTGGAAAATGAGTCATTTTCCAGAAAATATTTTCCTTTCCGGTGTTTGGCTGTATAACAGAAAATTGTCTTTGTGTGTTTGGTTCATTTTCTAGAAAATGGGCAAAAAATGACAAAACACAAAAACAAATAATATTCATTTCTTCCCAATAATATTCATTAAACACTATAATAATAAATAATCCATTACAATTATAAACATAATTTTTTACAACTTTATCAAAAAAAAAAAAAAAAAAAAGAATACAACTGTTTCTTAAAAAAAATAATAAAAAATTGACAACTGCACATCTTCATCCCCCCATCTCTCTTTGACCTGCAACCTTCGTCTCTCACCAGAAACCTCCGTCTCTCACCAGAAACCTCCGTTTCTCTCTCTCTTTATTCTCCCAACGCCTTAACAGCAGATCCCACATCCTCCATCTCCCTGTATCTTTTTTCTAGACTAGCAGCGATGCTGGATAGCGGCGGCGGCCGGAAGCAGTGGCTGGGCAGAGCAACAGCGAACCTGGGTTTCTTCCTCGGTCTTCTTCTCCGGCGAGTCCTCCATCTCCGGTGTACTCTTTGTAGGGGCGAGCAACAGTGGCATCTCTCTCGTTCGACGTATACGAAGCATCTCCGGCAGTGCAAGCAGTCCAATGGCGTCTCTTCTTTTCGACGGTGGCGGCATTAGTCTCCGGCGATGAAGCTTCCATTCTGCCCTTCGACAATGAAGCTTCCATTCTGCCCTTCGGCGATGAAGCTTCCATTCTGTCCTTTTTGGTGTTGATGGAGGCTAGAACATTTTTAGCTGTAGACAACAAAGAGTGGAAAATGACTTCCCCCAAAAAAAGGGGAAGTCATTTTCCATAAAAGAGGGTTTATTTTCCATTGACTTCAAGCCATTTTCCTTTGACTTCTCTTTTCCTTGCCAAGCCAAACACCAAAAACTCGGAAAATGATTTCCAGAAATCATTTTCCGAGTTTCCAAACACACCCTAAAATCTTAATTATTTGTTATGTTTTTTCATTTTAATGTGTGTATATAGCAATGATATATTAAAGATTTTTTTTTTTTAAAAAAAAATCATAGAAAAACTTAAACGAACTAAATATCTTAATTAATTTTCAAGATAATTTAATTATGATATTTCTAGGATAACACCAAACATGTTAATTAATTTTTCATTCTCAGGAATTTACTTAATGGAAAAGTAGCAAACGCCCTCTATGGGCAAAAATAACAATTATCCAATAACTTGATGACAAAAATTCCATTATATGGCTGAAATCCAAAAGCTATAAGATTGATTTTGAATCTAGTATGCAATCAACACAAACTGAAAGTTTCATATACAACTCATTCCAATATCACACGTACACATAATGAACATATTGCTGCATGCAAATGAATCATGTAATGTACAGCTAAGAATATAATACCCCCACACCCCTATACTAGCTAAGAATCTTGGACATCATATCACTCAAGAACACCTCACAAAAGTTGTAGATGTTTGATTGGCAATCAATTCAATGACTAAAACAGATTGTTTTTTTGTCAACACAGATATACTTGACATTGAACAACAGTTTTACCTATCCTGAAACCTGGAACTACAGTGAAAGCTACCCGGGGTTCTGTTTCTGATAACAAGAATGCTTCTTCATTCACTGTCTCCATGAAGATCTCAGAAAACCGCGTTTTTCTGCTAACCTGGAAGATTGATAATGCCTCCTCGGGGTCGAAAGAAAAGGCCAGGCAATGCAGAAGCCAAACACGGTTTGCCATTTCAGAAAACGCTGTAAAGAAAGCTGTCTCTGGGGGGTATTTGCCTGATTTCACCCTGGCCCTCTGGTCCAGGTTTCCGAAAAGGGATTCTTCCATCCGGGGATGAATGAGCCTCAAGTATTTGTTGCAGCAGAATGTCGCGAATGTTGATTTTGGTTTCCAGGCGAGATAATCAGATTTCTGTTCCATGAATCTGTCAAAAAATAGCCTCTCCTGCTGTTTCTTCTGCTCACTTGAAGAAACTGACAAGTTTTGGTAATTGAAACCATCAAACATCACACCGCAAACAAACGATTCAAATGCATAACGTTTGTGGTTTGCTTTCCAGAACACTACCCCCGGTTGAATTGATCTCGCAGCAGCATCTAAATCCCACCCTGCAGATTCCATCTCCCCGCAAAGCACCCGAGTAAAACTCTGAATCGATTCCACTGTCTGCAGAAGATATGTAATGAAAAAGCTGAGACTTAATAATTCTGAGGGAACAGATATTGAATTCAGTCTCTTCTCCAACACCCTTTTCTCTGTATCGATTTCCACCAATTTCTCCCTCAGAAATGCAATTTCTGAGTCCTTTAGCTTAACCTGAGAACACAGCTTCTTCCCCATGATATCATAAGTTCTGAGACTGCACTTGTGCTCTTGAATTTCAGCCAAAAGAAGAGTGGTCTGGGGAGAACACTCATCATCAATCTGTTTCTTAAAGTAGCACTGTTTTAACTCCGACAAGATTTTCAACTCGGACACCACCATCTTATCTGCAGCGCAAATCCCATCGGGGTCATAAGGAGACTGAGAAAACTGCAACTGTGCATACGCCGCCTTAACACTTGACACGCTAGCAAACACTCTGGCAAGAAAAGCTTCTGCTGCAATTAGCCTCAGCTTCTCATCTGCATCATCCAAACGTTTGAACTGCGCATTAAAATCACCATTCTTCTCCTTTTTTTCATGGGACTTATTAGACTTGTGTTTCCCCTCCTGGCCAGCTCCTATGACAAACTGAATGTGAAAAACTTTAGAGAAAGCGCGCCTCAATTTGCTCTTGTTCTGGGAAATGCTGGACTGCATAACTGCATCCATCTCATCTGCACCAAAAAATGAATAAATTCATACAACAACATTTGAATTCAGAAAAGCAACAATATAATCATGGTGTTGACCACCCTCTACATGATTCATGATTGTATGGTTCCACAAGAGAAAAAGATGTTTGCTTTAACACTTAGATCGAGGCCATTACAGGCATGTGGAATTTATTTTAGTTTTGTCATGTTTACTTTCTTTCCAAAACAAAAGTGGTTTTCAAAGATTGAGGAGAAAAGTGATCATAAAGGTGCAGAAGATGAAACATAGAAAAGTGAAAATCCATAGCCCATACTTGAACATCACTGCAATGTAGCTTCTCATGTGATGAGTGTTGGGGTTAATACTCTTGGCCCATTGAAGCCCGATTAGTTTAGAGGTCCCAAAAAATCTATTAAGTATGAGAAAGTTGGTCCGGGGTCACTCCAGCCAAGTCGATCACGTTGTTGACTTGACTTGGTAACTACAAGGTTACAAGTTCCAACTCTCAAAAGGAGTGACCTCTTGACCTTCTTAGTTTAAGCCGATAAGCTATGAATAATCTAGACTGGTTTACCTCCTTGTGATCCTTTGTTGGCTAGAGTCACAAGAACCCAGTACACACTAAGAAGGTTGGCCCAAGATATTGGAACCCATCTAGATAGGGACCCAATGCACACTAAGAAGTCTGCATTAATGGCTAGCTTCAATCGTTATGCTGTGAGCACGTGCCCACCTTGCATGGTGCGCACGAATCTATATCCATAATTTCTATACTGTAGATCCATAAATTTTAGACTCTCAGTGAACTAAAATTTATACTTTAGATTCATAATTTCTAAAACTGTAGGATCCATAATTTAAATACAGTAGATCCATAATTTCTATACAGTGGATCCATAATTTCTATACTGCACTGATTTGTGAAAACATGGTTCAACAATTGGAATCTAAAGTATAAATTTTAGCTCACCGAGATTCTAGAAATTATGGATCTACAGTATAGAATTTATAGATATAGATTCGTACGCACCATGTGCATGATGAGCACATGCTCACAGCATAATTTACCGGCTAGGTTCTATTAGAACTTGACTATGTACATGTACTATTACAACAAAATAGTAGAATCCTTTGTCTTGCCTTGACCCAAAAAGGCCTGTAGTTTTTCCTTTTCAATTTTCACTTAAAAATTGTGTTCTATACAAAGAAGATTGCCAATAACTACATGTTGGCACAAGTCAAAGTGAGGGTTGAGTAATCCAAGTTGAGAGTGATTTCACCTCAATATCAGCTACAGCTAAAGGGGAAAGATGAAAGGAGAATTAAGATACCAAATCTATCAAAACATTGCAATCACAAAAAAGACAAATTTCCTTTCCCCTTAATTGCAGGGAATATAATAATATGTCCCATTCCAGTAAAAATTCAAAAGGTAACAAATCATTTCAGCTGACCATTTGATAAACAAAGCTCAAAAGATAACAATTATATGAATTGTTCCAAGTGCAGTAGACAAAGATTACCACCTTTATTGGGATTGGCTAGACTCATTTGTCCAAAGGAATTGAATTATTCCACTTTTCATGAAGTCATGTTTCCCTAATTTGATGACATCCAACATTTACATGAGATTTGCATTCATGCTGTTAGCTGCATGACTTTAACATTCCCTTACCATTGAGTGTAGTTGTTGAACCAAATTTACTTTCTGCATGAGTAAAATGCCTATTGACGACTTTCTTTCACACGATAGATTGTTAGTGTGTTCACAAGAATCGAAACCTAGCTTTAATTTCTTGCCCTTGCTTTGTTAGTGTGCTCGTGCACTTCTTAAGTGAGAATTTTCTAATTGAGCGCGCAAGGATAGCTCAGTTGGTTTTCAAGTCGTAAATTATGAGTAAAGGGCACAGGACCGAGACTTGACAACCGTAGTGTGGGAGTTATACTCAAAGTGGTGGCTGGGTACCAGACACTGATTTTCCCACCTAAGAAACTGTTTAGTCGCCGTGATTTATCCTGTCGAGTCGGGGTGTGGAGACTCTTGGGGCGAGAGAATTTTAGCTTTTGTGGGCAAGAATTTTCCAATTGCTAGCAAAGTAACAACTAACATTAGCTTTGTCACCTTAAACATAACAGTACTTCCTAAACAACATGAGCATGAGTATCCTACATCATTTCACCCTTTTAATACCTAATTATCCCAGGCATGAATCCCCAGTGGATGTGTTAATGATAATACTAAACAATGCCTAACCATTACACTACTAAACAAATAGAATCTTGAGCCACAAATACCTATTCAATTTAATCCTTGATATTGAGCCAAAATTATTCCAATGGACAAAAACACGTACATTTGTAGAAAAGGCTTTCCTAATTTATGTCCCTTGAGAGTTGATACCCGATACGAGCTTAGACATAGGAATTTGCTAAAATTAGAGACTTTATTTTAACGATGTATTATTAGCTTAATTATTATATTAAGATTCTTAATTGCCTCTCCCTCCTTTCTTTCTCTCTATCTCTTTTATATTTACATTCTACTTTCCCTCTTCTATTCTAAAATTAGATTTTACTTGTTTACCCCATTTCAACTCCTAGGATATGAGTGTGGAGACAAACAACACCTCATCACCATTAAGAAATTAAATAGGAGTTTCAATTCTTACCTTTCAGAAAGGTCAGAGTGTGGGTGGGACCCTTGGAACGAGGAAATTTCGTCTTTTGTGAGTGAGTTTTCAGTTTCGTTTTGTCACAGAAGATCGAATGCAGAAAAGCACCTTCATGACTCTACCTCCTCCTGTAAGAAGCCACACCTCAGAAAAACAGACTTTTTCACAATTATATGTATATAAAACATACAGAGTACAAAAATATAGATTTAAAAGAAGAAGAAAAAAAATTGCATCAAATCATGAACTGAACAGATGAAACCACACCAGAAAATAAAAAGATTTGGTGACCAATAAAAACTCTGGGCATATATGGCTTGGAATTCCAAGAACCAAACTTTGATGGATTAAAGAAAGTGATGAAAAAAATCCAATCTTTAATAACAGAATGAGATGATACGTGCAGTGATCTCTAACCTTAAAGACTGGGTGAAGAGGTTAAGAACAGAAACAAGGTTGCTTGTATTGTATAGGCATTCATACAAAACTCATATGCATTCTTTCTGCATTAAAAGACCAATCAGAGCTTCATATATATATATATATATATATATATATATATATATATATATATATATATATGTTAGACTAAAATATCACATGCATAATCTTATATGTGATAATAGGATCGTACTAACCTCCAGCCATAGTTCTTCTTACGGTTGAGCGATCCGGACTGCTGCAGAGATGATAAGTGCTTTGTCTCTCACTTTACTCAGCTCTCTCTAGATGGTGTATGAGGTATGTAATGTGAGCAGTGAGAGGACTAGTGACCTTATATAACCACTGGCCATCATTGTGGTTGATTGTCTTTAGGTCTCCTAAACCCTAACCAGACTCCTAATCATAATGGTAGTCTAGCTATTAGGTTATTAGTGTTGCACCACATATCAAATACTGAATATTATCATAACTTATCCTGGTGACGCAATCTTGTTTCCAGAGAAGATGCTACACTCAGTTCCCTTTGGCTGTCTCAGTTTTGTCATATCCTGCAAAGAGTTTGCAATGTGGATTGTTGAACCAGAGTCAACCCACCAGGAATTAGTATTAACTTCTGACATGTTAGATTCGAAACAAACGAAAGAAGATGAAATGTTACCTTTTTGGGACATCCATTTCTGAAACTTGATACAATCTTTCTTCATGTGTCCCTTCTTTTTGCAAAAGAAACACTTTTGTATCTTCTTAATGTCTGCTTTCGGGGTTAGTTTCCCCTTAGCAGCTATGGTAAGTCCCTTAGGCTTTCCAGACATTCTTTTAGGCCTTGTTGTGGCCATTAAAGCACTTTCCCCAAGCTCAGTTACAAGTCGCGTTTCCTCTTGAGTACACATGGTAATCAATTGATTGATAGACCATTCATCCTTATGTGTATTATAGGCAATTTTAAACGCGCTATATTCCTGAGATAGGGTATTTAGTGCAAAGTGCACCACAAAGGCATCTGGAAGAATAATTTTCAACTTCTTCAATTGTGCCGCAATGTCCCTGAGTTCCATGATGTGTTTCCGCGTTCCCTTGACAGTGGAAAGACACATATTGATAAACTTCATTATCAGGGTACTTGCCAGAGATTTATTCGCGTCAACAAATTGCTCATCGATGGCTTTGAGTAATGGCTCAATGTTCTCAATATCATCGACGGGACCACGAATCTCTCTGGCAATTTTAGACTTAATGAGGAATACGCCTAAGCGATTGGCTATTGCCCATCGCTCGTATAGCGTTTTTTGTTCCTCAGTGCTTTCCGCAGTAAGCTCAGCAGGCTTCTTATTGCGAAGAGCATAATCAAACCCCAATATTCCTAAATTCAATAAAACAGCGTCTTTCCACTCTTTGTGATTGTCATAATTGAGGATAGGAATATCAATTGTTATTGATTGAGTGATTGGAAGAGTGACTGTAAAAGAAAAATTGAAAGCTTGGTTAGAATATTTTCGAGGCACAAAATTAGAGAGAGATACTGAAGTACACAATATTACCAATGTAAAATTATGCAAAAGATAAATTCGGATGCCATAAAAATTGCCTGTGGGCTAAATTTTTACGCATAATGAATTTACCAAAACTGAATGGTGGAAACGAAATGGGGGCGATTTTAATTTTTCCACCCTTAATGACAAAACTACCAAAACTATATGCCGATACATAATCCCTGTGGGCAAATTATGATCATAGTATGGTATTTCATCCTAATTCACCCTACAAATATAACAAAATTGCCTGTGGGCTAAATTTTGCCATATCACGCAGAGTGAATTACAATATTCTTGCATTAGCTTTATGTGAGTAAAACTTAATATGTAATTTTGGAAAAATTAAAGATGCTGTGGCTACTCTTTAATTAACCAAAGAACATAATCACATTAGCAAGAAAACCTAATAATCAAACAGATTAAACCAAAATATGATAGACAATCCTTAGGTATACTCCCAGGAAAGTTGATCGAGACGAAGCTCGGTTAAATACCAACTCCTTAGACAGAGTAGCGTCGCAAGGGGACTAGTAGCAACAAGGCTTTTAAGCCAGGGCCATAGAACTAGTATTCCTCCCCAAGAAACTTCCCTAATTCATGTGTTCTCATTTTTGAAGTAAAATCGTTTGAGAGATCTAAAGAGTAGTTTCACCTATGGATAAGGCTTTGAATAGGGTAAAACTACGAATTGTTTATGTACTTAATGTGCTTTAGGAACTTGATAAAACACGAGTGGAGTAATAACTGAAGGTTGAGTAATAATATGCATAATCTAACCTGAAAGGCACTAATTCACCTAAAAGGCACTAATTCAGGCATAGCATATAATTCAGACCTAAAAGGCTCTAAATTTTTCTTAATGAACATGCTTTGCTAGGCATATAATTATAACAGTCAAATAATTATTGCAATAAAGAGATACATAGCATGCTCAGATTATGCATATTACTCACAAAATACTCCATAATTAAATTGCAACACTTAATACAATTTAATCTGAAACATTATTAAATTAAAATTCAACTGAAGAATTAAAACTGAATAATTATTCAAAGTTGAACAATAATTTAATAATAGACTTAATAAAAAAAATTTCAATTGGATAATTTAATTAGAAGAAGTCCGAATATGATGAAGATGTTAATCTGAATGAATTGATGTAGTCCAAATATCAATTCAGGTTTGACCCAAAACCATAACAGGGCCAATTTAAAAAAAAATTACAATTTTTTTTTCTTAGTGAGCCCAGGTCTAGCCCAAATTGGGCCAGACCTGGCCCATTAACATAACATCATCATCTTCTTCAATTTTCTAACGTAAGCAGTAGCAGCAACGAACAGACCAGCAACAGGAAACCGGCGACAACAACAACCAAAGGACGCTGGAAGGAGAGCAGACAGTAGCACCGTCGCTGGGAAACCCAGCGCAGACGCCGCCTGACCGCCAACCAACGCCAACGCCGTTCGCCGGCCGACTGAACCCTGTACGTCGTCGTCGCTCCATCACCGGAAAAACGAAGCTCCATCATCGACAGTACTGAAGGAAGAATGACCGGAGTAGTTTTTATGTAAACTTCCGGCGTTCTCCTCCGTCAACGATGAGCCGCCAGCGACGTACTCAAGACCGGCGAACCTCATCCGGTAGAAACGGCGAAACAGTGGCAAAAATCCAAAATTTGAATTTTTTTTTTTTAATTAATTCTTAATGCGGAAAATTATTTTCAGCAGTCCAGAAAATTTAATTGCATACTCAAGAATATTTACACATGTATTTCAATTATATAACAAAATATATAAATGTGCAAACATTTAAGCAATTAAAAAAAAACTAGGCAGAGATTATTTATGGCGACTGATACCAACTGTTAGACTAAAATATCACATGCATAATCTTATATGTGATAATAGGATCGTACTAACCTCCAGCCATAGTTCTTCTTACGGTTGAGCGATCCGGACTGCTGCAGAGATGATAAGTGCTTTGTCTCTCACTTTACTCAGCTCTCTCTAGATGGTGTATGAGGTATGTAATGTGAGCAGTGAGAGGACTAGTGACCTTATATAACCATTGGCCATCATTGTGGTTGATTGTCTTTAGGTCTCCTAAACCCTAACCAGACTCCTAATCATAATGGTAGTCTAGCTATTAGGTTATTAGTGTTGCACCACATATCAAATACTGAATATTATCATAACTTATCCTAATGTTATAATAATAGTAACGGATAAACGTTACAATATATATATATATATATATATATATATATATATATATATATATATATATATTCAGATGTACGTGCGTATGTATATACCATATATGCATGCAGCCCGGAGAAAATACTAAATTCGATTGCCTCACTTATCTTTACCTTAAAACTTAAAACTTAAATTTATCATCAGTTGTTATACAATGGACCATGGTTTACACATCGTTATGATCGTTAAATGAAACTATAGTAGAATTATTAAATAAGAAAATAGAACTAAAAAACAAAACAATATTATCAAATGAAACTAAAATATAATTAAAATGATACTTCATGGTCTACTCTACTACATAGACCATGACCCACAATAAAATTCGTCGTTCATCATCAACCAATTGAGTTATATTAGGGGATAAATACTCATACTCAGGAGAATATTAATGTTGGTCCCTCCCTGTCGTAGAAGATTGGGACCAGCCACCAGGGGGATTCCCAGTGATTATGGACCTCAGCTTTTTCTATGCCTTGTTGTTTTTCTTGAAAAATATTCCTTTCAATTTCATAGCCTCACAGCCCTCTACATTTATACCCAAAATCTGTCACACCATGCCTCAAGGAAGCTGACATATATAGAAAATAAAAGTAATAAAAATCGTAAACTTCTGAAAGAATCAGAACATGTCATGTACAGATGTACTCATGTAAAAGAATTTGTTCCTATTCGAGACTAAAATGATAAATTGTTACTCCATGAACAAGTATAAAGAAATATCGATCAATGTTCACTTGATATCGACTCAAACTTTTGGAATGTAAATATTCAAATCACAAAAATAAAAGAAAATGTCTATACACCTGAAGGTAAGGGCAAAACATCGCAGACAATAGAAGGATCGAGTGAGTATAAGGATTCATATTGCTAAGAAGTACATTTAGTCCAATGACACTATGTTTGTGGCACAAAACTACACTTTCAAAGGGCCTGAGTCATACAGAAGTTATGCCAGTGCTACACGAAAATCAAATTTCAAGAGCCAGCCACTACAAGAAAGAATTTCATCAATCTGCCTTTAAACCCTTTTGAAGAATGAGAGAATATTCCCTTGCTTAGGGTCTTTGTTCCCACCCTTCTTATTTCCGACTTTGGCTGCTTGGTTTGATGGAGCATTGCTTCCAATCGCATTTGGCTTCTTAGGTGCAGGTGGTCTGAAATAGTGGCATGTGTTAAGAAAGTGTGTAATGCCAAACTTTAAAGCGACAAGTCATTGGGAGACACTCTCCAGAATGATGTACAAAAGATGAATGAACTCGAGAATCACTCTCC